ATAGGGATTAAAAATGAAATTTTGGTCTGAGAAGTACTTGGATTTATTTCTTCCAGAGTATAGAGTGCATCCTTTTGGGGAACCTAGGTAAATTAAAGCTCCACCTCCCCCGTCGCTATTACATTCAGGAGGCAGTGTGGTGCAGTGGTGATGGGCTTCTGCATTGGCATCCAACAGATACGGAACAGCTTCTCTGCTGAAAGTTCAAAGTCTCTTCTTATATATAAAAATGAGGACAGGGCGCCTGGGTGGCTCAGTCGGTTGAGCGACTGCCTTCGGCTCAGGTCATGATCCTGGAGTCCCGGGATCGAGTCCCGCATCGGGCTCCCCACTCAGCGGGGAGTCTGCTTCTCCCTCTGACCCTCCCCCCCTCTCATGCTCTCTCTCTCTCATTCTCTCTCTCAAATAAATAAATAAAATCTTAAAAAAAAAATAAAAAAAAATAAAAATGAGGACATACTAGTAGTGCTCAAACCTCACAGAGGTTGAGTTAGTGTTTGACTTATTTTATTTATTATTGTAGTTTACAAGCTTACCACAAAGCACATGCAAAATCTAGACATGAAGATTACCTCTGATTGGGGCGCCTGGGTGGCTCAGTTGGTTAAGCGACTGCCTTCGGCTCAGGTCATGATCCTGGAGTCCCGGGATCGAGTCCCACATCAGGCTCCCTGCTCAGCAGGAAGTCTGCTTCTCCCTCTGACCCTTTCCCCTCTCATGCTCTCTCTCTATCTCATTCTCTCTCTCAAATGAATAAATAAAATCTTTAAAAAAAAAAAAAGATTACCTCTGATTATGTCCACAGGGCTTAGCTTGATAAATGTTTGCTGAATGAATGACAGGGAGAGTGAATTGGAGGCTCTGACTTGATCCAGGCCAGGATCCACAGGTATAAACATGATCATTTCCACATTATCTGCTGAGGTCATATATAATGTGGGCAAAGGAGAGTTTGGAAGATGGCACTGGTGACCAGCCCCGCTGGTCTCCACCCAGCCTGGTCACAACAGTGAAGCCAAAGCAGTACTCCACCCAGACCCTGGGCCTGGCCTGAGGGGGAGATGTGCGGGGACATAGAGGTAACAAAACAGTCTGTCTTCAAATTGCTTACAATCTAGTTGGACACACAGAGAGGAAAGTGGAGATTAGATCACTAAATAGGTTGCCCCTCACCAAGTGCTCACCATACTTCTGTCAATACCCACCACACGTTATTATGACTTGTCTTCTTTGCTTTCCAGTCAGGTACATCTGGGTTGCACCCCTAGCACCACCTGAGGCACTGGGCAAATCACCTCTCCTCATGGAGCCTTGGTGTCCTCATTTTTTAAAAAAGATTTTATTTTTAAGCAATCTCTACACCTGACATGGGGTTTGAACTCACAACCCCGAGATCAAGAGTCCCATGCTCTACAGACTTGAGCCAGCCAGGTGCCCCCTCAGTGTCCTCATTATAGAATGGGGATACAGTCATCATGGTCCCTGCCTCCTGGGGCTGGGTATGGACTCAACGAGATGATGCGCGTCAAGCTCTCAGCACGTGGCAGGCATGTCAAAGGCCCTCAGCTGCTATAACCGCTCAACTCCGAGAGGGCGGGGATGCAGCTGTCTCCATCACTGTGCGACCCCCAGCGTTTGGCCTACACTCAGAAGGTATTTGGGAAATAAGCAGAGACTAGTGGGCTTGTGCGTCAGGATACACACACAGGGGGCCGTGTGGTGGAAAATGTGACTGGAAAGGTCTTTGTGTGCCAGGCTGAGGAGTTTATCCTGGGGGCAGTGAAGAGCCACTGAGGGTTCCTAAGAAGGGCAGGAGCTGGGTGCTATCATTTGTGGGACAGGCTGAGCTTAGGCTGACCTCACAGTGGGCTTCTTTCCACTGACATGACCCCCATCTCCCCTGCATTGGAGAATTAACATCAGCATCAGCACTTAAACCTCCAGGCTTGCCCGATGAGAGACCGACATTTGGACTCACTTGGAGGCACTAAAGTTCCCCAGGGGACTGAAGTGGCTTGGCCCCTGGCACAGCATGGATGCTTATCCTGTAGATAATGGTTACATTGGGCATTAGGACCTCTGAACTATAGAAGTCCTCCCACGCTGGGTGTGTGCAAAATAAACACCTCTGGCTTCATTGTGTACATGGTGACTTCAGAGAGCTTGAAGGACCTTCCTGGAAAATGACAGTTTCTACTTCCTAAACACGGACTATGTGCTAAATCACTACACATGCATAATGGCCCTGCTGTGGGATAAGTATATACTCTCCCCATGTTACAGGTGGGGAGAAAGAGGCTCAAAGGGTCGACGGGACTACTGCAAGGGTGCAGTGCTGGTCAGGGCCAAGGCCAGGGCCAGTTCTGTATGTCCTCAGAGCCTGTGCCCCCAAACATTGCTTTGAGGCTTGCTACAAAGGCTTTTATCAGGCAGAGGGAAAGGGAGCTTTCCCTGAGCTACCAGGAGAGGACTCAAGACCTGTGTGTCCCAGAACAAGCTCCCCAAACTTGAGACCCCCGGTCTTCACCGTGAAGTGAGGTTGTTGTGGGGTTCTCTACTCCGGGCTTAGCGCCCACTCTTTCAACTAATGAAGCAGCAAGCCCCTACTGTGTGCCAAGCACTATTCCCAACAGTGAGGGGAAAGAACAAGTTTCCCTGACCTCCTGGGGCTGACAGAGAACTCATAAATAAAATGAACAAATAAGATAATTTCAGAGTGGTAAGTGCTAGAAAGAAAAGAAAGTGACATGGTGTGGTGCAGCAAGGGGGAGGGCACTTCTTCAAGTGAGTGGGCAGGACAGGCTTCTCCAAGGAGGTGCCATTTGAACACAAATGTGAATGACAAGTAGTTGACCATGTGATGACCTGGGGACAGAATGCTATTCCCAGAGATAGGAAGAAGGCCAACATAGTTTATTGAGATGAAGAATGAAGTTTCTAGGTAGAAGTTGAGAGAGACTTATGGGCTTTGGTAAGAACTAAGGAAGGGGCACCTGGGTGGCTCAGATGGTTAAGCGTCTGCCTTCGGCTCGGGTCATGGTCCCGGGGTCCTGGGATCGAGCCCCGCATCAGGCTCCCTGCTAGGCAGGGAGCCTGCTTCTCCCTCTGCCTCTGCCTCTCTCTCTCTCTGACTCTTATGAATAAATAAATAAAACATTAAAAAAAAAAAAAAGAACTAAGGAAATGGTAGCTCTTGCCAGTAGAACTTTTTTCCAATCACGAGTTGGTGGCAAAAATGCCACCTTAAGATCTGGAGACCAGGGGTGCCTGGGTGGCTCAGATGGTTAAGTGTCTGCTTTCAGCTCAGGTCATGATCCCAGGGTCCTGGGATCGAGTCCCACATCAGGCTCCCTGCTGGGCGGGGAGCCTGCTTCTCCCTCTTCCTCTGCCTCTGCCTCTCTCTCTGACTCTCATGAATAAATAAATAAAACATTAAAAAAAAAAAAAGATCTGGAGACCAGACTCCATTCCCAGCTAATCATGATGCCCAGTGCCCATCTCTCCAATGCTGTAAAGGCTCAGGGTTATTCAGGTACCAAGTGGCTGGAGCAGGTGAAGTCCCCAGCTGGGCAGAGAAGGCATTCTGTGAGTCTGACCTTTTCCCCCAAACTTGGTACTGTTGACTTTTACTGATGTGGGGGTAGAGGTGCCTGGACTCTGGAAAGCTGTGGAAACATGACAGATCTGGAAAGGTGGCCCATACTGCAAAGATGGATTAGGTCTGGAAAGCTCACCCCAGTCTCCTCCTCTTTCTGCAGAAAATCAAAGGGCTCAGGACAAGGCTTCCCTCTTGAAAGGGCCCTGGATCCAAGGTAGGCCTCCAACCTCCCACTTCCGTCACTGGGAGCCCTGGGCTGGGATGTGGTTGGCACAAGGTAGGCTGAGGCACTGGTGTGGCAATGTGTGGCAGGTTTCAGACAACCCCTGGTTCTAGTCCCAGCTCTGCTCCTATTGCCTCATTAGTAAAACAGAATAACACATCTCTTTGGATTGTTGAAAGCATCAATGCAATAACGTGTGCATCTCAACTGCTTAGGCACATAGTACAGCTCTAAAACTGTAGCCCTTATTATGGATAGGGAAACTGAGGCATAAGAAACCCACCCAGGAAGTCTTGTGGCATGTGTTCTAGCTACTTCAGGCAATTCCTTGCCTATCTCTAGGCCTTAGTTGTCCTATCCACACAATGGGGAGCTGGCCCCCCAAAACTCTAAAGGCTCTGCCATCTTGAGAGTGTTTCTGGTTCTAAATCCCAAGACAGGGCTAGCCACTCTTGCAATGATATTTACACCCCTTGGCCCTGACCCAGAGAATATGCCTGGGTGCCACTCCAAAATGAACCAGCAGTTCTCTTCCCCTTTTCCTGATGATGAAATGGGCTGAAAAGGGGAACAAACTTGCCCTAAGTCCCTCTGCTGGAAAACAATGGAGGAATTGGGAATTTGAATCCCAGTCTGTCTGACTTCAGACCAAAGGAAAGAGGACAAGTAGCTGAAGCTCAGGCTGGAGGGGATGTCTGTCCTTGGTGCTCAAGGGCCCAAAGCTGCCAGAGTCATGGGGAGTACTGGGCAAAGGCAGGAGAAGCGGACACTTGGTCTGATGGCAGACTTTATTCAGACAGTGGAGACTCACCTGCCCCTTCTCAGGTCTTGGAAACTGGTATAGCCCTTCCTCCTGGAGGACACCCAGCCTGGCACCCAGAAAACCCTCATTGGCAGGGATGGGTCCAGAACAGGAGTAGTGGACCTGAGACACCCCAGCACCACACCCCAGCACCAGGCTGGACGACTGATTCTTTTTTTTTTTTTTTTAAAGATTTTTTAAATTTATTTATTCATGAGAGACAGAGAGAGAGAGAGGCAGAGGGAGAAGCAGGCCTCCCGCCGAGCAGGGAGCCCGATGCGGGACTCGATCCCAGGACCCTGGGATCATGACCTGAGCCGAAGGCAGACGTTTAACCATCTGAGCCACCCAGGCGCCCTGGATGACTGATTCTCACTCACATGTGGTGATCTTTGGGCAGCTCCTGGCTCTCCTGGGAGCTCCAGTGCCCTGCATGCTCCCTCCTGGGGTGGTCCTCAAAGCCACTCAACAGTGGTTATGACAAATTACGATAAATGAAGGGTCCAAGGGTCAGTGTTGAAAGAAAAGGAACAAAGGTAATGGCCAAAGAATCGTCCGCCTCAGGGGAGGTTGGGTGGTGGTGTGGGCAGTGGCTCAGGGCCTACGCCAGGCCCCTGACATGCACTGTGGGGGGGTCTGTGATGCCCAGCTCCTCCCGTAGAGCCCTCAGGGGCTGCTCCCAGCGCCGCTCGTAGTACAAGTTGAGGACACACGGGGCTCTGCGCCCATTCTGAATTGCCCATGGGATCAGCTCTGAAACCAGCACTTGCAGGCTCCTGTGGGGCAGCAGAGGAAAAAAGACATAAGGTGCCCAGAAGTTGGTGTACATTTTCTCAGTCCTCACAAATACCTTAAAAAGAAGGTAGTTATTATCCCCATTAGCATATGAGGAAACAGAAACTCAGTGAGGTAAAATCTTGTGTCCAAAGCCACACGTTTTAAATATGCCAAAGCCCAGATTTAAATCAAGGGCTACCTAACTCCAGGAACTAACACTGGATTTGCTGCCCCACCCCCTCAATTCCGTGTTCTGACCCAACACTGGGGCCTGGCCCGGGAGACTGTAGAGTCCTGTGAAACATCCAGGCTTCACTCACTGCCTTGGAGACCCTGTGCCAGGCCAGTTGCACCCTCCTGCCCCATTCTTTCTACTCTGGCTTCTTGGAGAACCATTGGGGCTGCTCAGGAAGGCTGCATGCTTGTCCCATTTCCTGGATCCTGGTTCCTCTGAGCTCTCCCGAACCCCTCACCACTTGAGAACTTACTGGGCACTGAGTCGGATTGGTCCAAAGAGGGCACCCAGGATGCACATGGGCAGGCCGGTCTGGACAGCCTCAAACCACTTCACCACGATCTCCCCTGGGGGGGCAGGGTGAGAAATGGGGTGGGAGGTGAGAAAGGCCCAGGAAGAGAGGCCATGGTGCTCCTGGCAGAACAGAGCAAAGCATCTGCTCCTCTTTGATCTCTGTCGGGTTGGCCATGCCCGGTCCTGGCCCATGCTGGGCCTTAGAGCACTTGGCTTGGGGTGAAGGTGAGGGTCCAGGAAAGAGCAGGAGGTAATGGCTGGGAAGGAAGCCTGGGGTCAGAGTGCACAGGACTCCAAAAGCCAGGCTGAGAAGTCCGGGGTGGTTCCTACAGGCCTTAGGGAGTTGTGGAGGGTTTCAGAGCAGGGAGCCCTGATGCTTGGATGCTGCTACATCAGCTTAGGAACCACAGAGGCAGTGGGATGGAGAGGTGATGCGTGGCACAGATGTTACCAAGATGTTCAGAAAGCAGAAAATGAGGCACTGAGCCGGCTGGCTAGTGTGTGACAAATCCGGGTGGACAGGCTGGCTGCAACACCCCACCCCACCCTGCCCAGCCCCACTCTCAAGGCTGCTGGGGGCTACCACTCACCCAGGATGTTGGTGGGCATCCCCAGCAGGGTGTGGAGCATGTCATGAATCTCCCGGTACCGCTGGATCACATAGGCTAGCTCCTCATCGTCCACGAATCGGGTGGGTGCTCGGGTATCTGGGGAGACCCTCTGACAACCATGAACCTCCCCTAGATCTCTTCCCAACTGTTCCCAAGGCCAAACTGGCCAGCCTCTTCTTGATTGTCAACCACTCCCACCAAACTCATACCATGGACTATTTCTGTCCATACCTGCCAACAGGGGAGTCCTCGGGTAGGGAATATGGTGGCACTGACACCCCCATGGGCTACCCACACATGTCCAAGGCTGTTGGAATTTATGGCAAAGCAGCTCCTGGCAGAGGGGGAAGCGACTGTTGTTTAAGGGGATAAGGTTTCAGTTTTACAAGATGGAAAAGCTCTGGAGGTTGGTTTCACAACAATGTGAATATATTTAACATTACTGAACTGTCCACTTAGAGATGGTTAAGATGACAGCTTTTTTTTTTTCTTTAAAGTAAACTCTAGGGGTGCCTGGTTGGCTCAGTTGTTAAGCATCTGCCTTTGGCTCAGGTCATGATCCCAGCGTCCTGGGATTAAGCCCTGCATCAGGGTCCCCGCTCAGCGGGAAGCCTGCTTCTCCCTCTCCCACTCCCCCTGCTTGTGTTCCTTCTCTCACTATCTCTCTCTCTCTCTCTCTTCTTTGTCAAATAAAGTAAACTCTACCCCCAACGTGGGGCTAGAACTCACAACCCTGAGATCAGGAGTCACACACTCTTCCGACTGAGCCACCCAGGCACCCCTGAGATGGCAACTCTTACGTTATCTTACCTTAAGTTACACCATGTTATGTTTTTTTTAACAAGTAGAAATAAAACGGAGAGAAAAAGGAAAAAAGAAGTTTCCAGGGCCCCTGATACTTTCTTTTTTAAAGATTGAATGGGGGGGGGCACCTGGCTGGCTCAGTTGGTTGAGCGTCTGCCTTCGGCTCAGGTCATGATCCTGGGGTCCTGGGATGGAGCCCTGCATGGGGGTCCCTGCTCAGTGGGGAGTCTGCTTCCCCCTCACCCAAATAAATAAAATTTATTTATATACTTGAGAGAGAGAGAGAGACAGAGATGGTGTGTGCACACACAGGGGAGGGAGGAAGAATCCCAAGCAGACTCCAGGCTGAGTGCAGAGCCCAACGGAGGGCTCGATCCCAGGACCCTGAGATCACGACCTGAGCCAAAACCAACAGTTGGACACTTAATTGACTGTGCCACCCAGGTATCCCTAATTTTTTAAAGTAATCTCTACACCCAACATGGGGCTTGAACTCATAATCCCAAGATCAAGAGTTGCGTGCTCCACCCACTGAGCCAGCCAGGTGCCTGGGCCCTGATCCTTCACATGAGCTGCTCCCAGCCTCGGGTGCTCTCCCCCACCACCCGCAGCTTCACCTTGACAATTCCTACCTGTCCTTTCTGACTCGCCTTAAGTGTCCCTGCTGTAGGGAGGCTGTCCGTGACCTTCAGACTGCTAAGGTCCACACTACGGTCTCTTGCAGCATCCCATACCTTGTATTGTGATGTGCATCGTATGGGCCCCTCTTCTAGACCTGGACTTTTCAGTACGGCAGCCACTCACTCCATGTGGCCACCAAGCCTGGAAATGGGACAGTTCCAACCTAGCTGTGCCGTAGTAGGCATAAAATGCACACTGAGTTTCAAAGACTTGGTGTGAAGAGAACAATGTGAAATCTTAGTAATTTAGAACTATCAATTACATGTTGAAATGATAGTATTTTCAGTACACTGGGTTAAATAAAAGAGGCTATTAAAGTTAATTGCACCTGTTTCTTTTTGCTTTTACTGAAGTGGCTAACAGCAGACTGGAAGTGACCTATCGGCTTGTGTTCGCTTTCTGTGAACAGTGCCATAGTGGCCTTTCAGCTGCACATGGCTGCTGGCTGCTTTGTTCACTGTTCTATCTCCAGGGACTTTTCTACCCCAGGAAGGGATGAACTGTCCCTCTCTGATCCACCCACTGCCTCTGTGAGTCCTCAGCAGCACCCATGCAGAATGGGAGCAGCCTAGTGTTCCTGTTCCCGAAGCATGATCTCAGCCTGTCCAGAGGCCAAAGGATTTGACATCTTCATTGCTTTGGGGCTACTGGCTCAGGGCCTTGGTCTGTGTCTGTGAGCTCCCTGGGTTCCGGTTCCTAATTTCTTCTCTAGGGAGTTCTACGTGCTGTGCGAAGCTGAGGGTGATCAGAGTGATAGCAATTATATTTATTGAGTACCTACTATGTGTCAGCACTGTATGAAGTCCTTTACATATATCATCATAAGGCATCCTTATGACCCTCTGGAGGTAGATACTTTAGAAGCCTCAGATAAAGATAAGAAAAATGAGGTTCAGAGAAGTAACTTGCCCAATATCACACAGCTAATCAAGTGGCTGAATCAGGATTTGAAAAAAGTCCACTGGATTCCAAAGCCAGTACCTTTTTTTTTTTTTAAAGATTTTATTTATTTATTTATTTGACAGAGAGAGACACAGAGAGAGAGGGAACACAAGCAGGGGGAGTGGGAGAGGGAGAAGCAGGCTTCCCACGGAGCAGGGAGCCCGATGTGGGGCTCGATCCCAGGACCCTGGGATCATGACCTGAGCCGAAGGCAGATGCTCAACGACTGGGCCACCCAGGTGCCCCCCAAAGCCAGTACCTTAATATCATTAATTATAAGCCATGTAAGTGCCCTGGAAGATAAACATTAGGTCCCCTGACCTCAGATAAGGAATATGAGGCTCAGAGAAGTCAAATGATTTGTCCAGGGCCATAAAGCTGGGAAGAGAGGTAGGATTCTAATTCAGGCTACCCTTAACTCCAGAGCCCAGGCCCATAATCTTAATACCACAAGATGTCCATACCCCCTACCAATGACAGCCTCAGGGAGGGTGGCCTCACCTTGAACTTTGATCTCAATCTCTGCTGGGACAAAGGTTGTTCCTTCACATTCTGTGGGCTGCTGGTTTCAGTGCCCTACAAGTGTCACAGTCTCTATGGCTATTGTCACAACTAGGGCTGAGACCGGGCAGGGTGCCCAGGGAGGTCCTGGCAGTCCCATCCCCTCCACAGCAACAAGATGAAAGGCTCTGGGGACTTCAGAAGAAGGCGGCCACCCTGGTGGGTTTCCCATTGATGAAGTAACTTGCTTCCTGGTGACATCTGAGGAGATGGTGGAAAATGGGGCAGGATCAAGTGTCAGGAGAGTATGGGGAGCAGATTATTATCTCAGGAACAAATAATCTAATATATTTTTTTAAGATTTTATTTATTTATTTGAGAGAAAGAATGAGAAAGAGAGCACATGAGAGGGGGGAGGGTCAGAGGGAGAAGCAGACTCCCTGCCGAGCAGGGAGCCCGATGCGGGACTCGATCCCGGGACTCCAGGATCGTGACCTGAGCCGAAGGCAGTCGCTTAACCAACTGAGCCACCCAGGCGCTCCAGGAACAAATAATCTTCTAGAGCAGTAGCTTCTCAGCTGTCCACCAGGGGATATTTGCAATGTCTGCAGAGATTTATGGCTGTCATAACTTAGTGGGGGTGCTACTAGCATCTATGTAGAGAGGCCAGGGATGCTGCTAACCATCTTGGAAAGCACCGGGCAGCCCCTACAAACAAAGAATTATCTGTTCCTGGGGCGCCTGGGTGTCTCAGCTGGTTAAGCATCTGCCTTCAGCTCAGGTCATGACCTCAGGTTCCTAGGATCGAGTCCCGTGTCAGGCTCCCTGCTTAGCAGGGAGTCTGCTTCTCCTTCTCCCTCCTCCCAACTGATGCTCTCTTTCTCTCTCTCAAATAAATTAAAAATAAATAAATAAATAAATAAAAGAATTATCTGGCCCGAAAAGTCAATAGTGCTGGGGTTGAGAAGCCTAGTTCTAGAGCAACCCACAGTGGGCTGGAGAACTACTTGACAGAGCTTCTTGCTGGTGAGATGTGTGTATACGGGGATGGAGGGGTTGGGACAGGGAAGATGTCCCAGCTGTATCCTAAGGTCCTTTTATAAATCACGTCATGTTACTATCCTACTTGAAACCCTCAATGTCTTCTATTGCTCCTATTACAAAATATAGACTTCTTCCCATGGCTGGCAGGGTCTGGGCCAGCTCTCCTCCCAGCCACTGGCCATGTCCTCCACTCACTTTTCCTTTTCTTTTTTCCTTTTTTCAATTTCCCTTTTTTTTTTTTTTTTAAAGATTTTTTTTTTTTCTTTGTCAGAGAGAGAGAGAGAGAGAGAGCATAAGCAGGGGAAGTGGCAGGCAGAGAGAGAGGGAGAAGCAGGCTCCCCAAAGAGCAGGGGGAGTCCGATGTGGGACTCGATCCCCAGACCCCGGGATCATGACCTGAGCCGAAGGCAGTTGCTTAACCAACTGAGCCACCCAGGCGCCCCATTTTTTTTGTTTTTTTGAAGATTTTATTTATTTATGAGAGAGAGAGAGAGAGAGCGCACATGTAAGCGAGACAGTGAGAGCAGGGGGAGCGGCAGAGCAAGAAGCAGACTCTCAGCTGAGCAGCGAGCCCGATGCGGGGCTCGATCCCAGGCCCCTGAGTACATGACCTGAGCTGAAGGCAGATGCTTAACCCACTGAGCCACCCAGGTGCCCCATTTTCCTTTTCTTAAACACACAGGGCCTTGCACTTGCCAGAAGCCCTGTTCCTCCTCATCTCTCCTTAGGGCTGGCTCCTTCTCTTCCGAGTCTCCTCCGAGGGGCCTCCTGTGACCTCCCTATGGGAAGTGACCACCTCTGACCCCGCCTCCTTGTCCTCTCTCAGGATGTTGTTCTCACAGCACCATCTGCTAGAATGGAAGCTCCACAAAGGCAGGCTCTTTGCTGGTTTCATTCACTGTATCTCAATTACCGAGAACAGTGTTGTACATTCCAAGGAGTCAATAAATATTTGACCCGAATTTTTATATGAAATTTTTTCTTTTATTACTCGATTTCCTCCCCAAACCAGAATATTAGCGCCACAAGAGCAGGGTTTTGTCTGTCTGGCTCACCATTCTATCCCCAGCACCTGGAACAATGGGTGACGACCGGCAGATCCTGAACACATGAATGAGTTCCTCAGCAGCTGGGACTCCCCCCACCAGCTCCCGTCCTCCCTGCCTGGGACAGAGTGCCACAACCTGTCATACCCTGGGGAAAGCACTGACTCTAGAACATGAGTACATAATACAGCAGGTAAGAGCATGATCTGGGGACACCCGGCTGGCTTAGTCGGTAGAGTATGCAATTTTTGATCTCGGGTTTGTGAGTTCAAGCCCCACACTGGGTATAGAGACAGACTTAAAAATAAAATCTTAAAAAAAAAAAAAAGGCATGATGTGAGTATGAATACTGCCTCCATTCATACTGGGTGTATGAAATCATCAAGTTGCTTAAGTGTTCTGGGCCTCATTTCTTCATCTATTAAAGGGGATAATAATAGCACATACTTGGCAGGGAGGGTCAAGCATGAACCTTCCTGTTGGGAGGGTTCAACAAGATCAGGTATGAGCCTGGCAGCTGACACCCAGTAAGCGGCTATTGCATACTGGCCAGTATTATTGCTTGGAGTTCCTGACCCATTTGCCTGTCCCATAGAACATGACAAAGCCTTGGCACAAGAGACAAAAAACACACCTGGCCATGGTGGCCAATCAGGACTCCTCCTTCCTCAGGACATCACTCCCATGCCCTTCTCTGCCTTTCCTAGTGATTGCCAAATGCACAGAAGCTGGAAACTCACATTTACATCCAGGAAACAGAGATACTCTTGGCCAAGGGAGCCCTCAGGCAGACTACGGAGCTTGTCCAAGTCAAGGGTAGACAGCGAGATCCGGGGACGCTTCCTGCAAGGCAGAAGGAAGGACTTAGGTACTGGGAGGGCAGCAGCAAAGGCAGGTGAGAGGCCAGCTAGAGCAAGGATTTGGGAAGTGAAGGGGCAGAGAGCAACAATGGGCACACAAATCCTATTGCAGGACCTGTTTCTGGCCAGGACAGTGGCAGGGACTGAGGAGACTACCACAAGCCAAGGTCATGGTTCCTGCCTGCAGTGGCATAATCTAGGGAGCAAGCCTCAGGTGTGATCAGGGTACTCACAAAGGACACTGCAGGCGAGTGGGGGTTATAGCTAGCCTGTTATGGGAGCTTAGGGAAGGCAGAGGGCCCTGTGGTGGGATCTGGGCTGAGGCCACCACATTGCACTACCCACGGGTCATCATAGTGTGTGTGTGAATGGCACCCACGGAGTTGGGCAGTGTCTAGCGTGTGCAGCTCTCCATGGCCTGGGCATCAAGAAGAGCTCCCTAGAGGAACACAATGTGACTCCAGAGAGGTCAGGATCCCCAAAGAATATCCCCAATCCCCCAGGCACAGCTGGGACCTACTGCAGGATCTCAGCACCCTCTGGATCCTTCCTCATCTGGTCCCTGAGGACCTTCAGGGCACGGAGTCCTGTGGTCTCCCCTAGAACTGCGACCATGTCTGAAAGGAAAGAAATGGGGACAAATGGAAGATATGATGTTAGGTAAGTTACTGGACCCCATCTGAGCCTGTCTCCTACATGATAAACCAAAATCCTATCTACCTCTTAGTTACGAGGATTCATGTTAGACATTTAGCAAATCACCTGGCACACAGTAAGGGCTCAATATATGTACCTATAGTCATTATCATCGTATTAATCCAACGGGCTGAGATGGCTCTGGTTAGCACAGTGCTCTAAAGAGTTTATAAGTCACTTTTACACCCATTATTACAACGGATTATCATGCCTCCATTGATTACAGGCTTTGAATCAGAGTGCTAGGTTTGGGTTCAGGTGCAATCACTGTCTAAGGGAACTTGTGCAAAATGCTTCACATTTCCAAGCCTCAGGGTACTAATTTATGAAATGTGGAGAACACCTTTCTTACAGGGTTAATGTGAAGAAAAATCAAGAACATCGTGCATATAAAACATTTAGTGCAGTGAGCAACCGGCATTAGGGCTCAGTGAGCAGTTAGCACTGCCATTTCAATTGGTAGGAGTAATAACCCTTTCCAGACTTAGAATCCTGAGAATGAGAAAAGTCCTGTAGAACCCTAAGATGTTCCAGTCATACAACCAGCAAACATTTATTGAGCATCTGCTATGTACCAGGCACAATCTAAAACATGCTGATACAATGCAACAGGGCAGTCGGGGTGTCTGACCTCATAAACTTTAATTTTTATTGGGATGTTATAATTTAATGTATAACAAACTTTGTAAATCATCTATTTAGTACACAGGTTCTCAATGTGGCTGGATGACAGAATCTTCCGGTAGGTAGTTTATTTAAAAATGCTGGCCCTTCCTCCCCTCCCCAGGCTCGGCCTGATTCGGACTGAACCCAGGGTGGGCCCTAGACATCTGCATTTTTGTGAACCTTGCGCGTGATGATGGGATGCAGCCAGGTTTGGGAACCCCGACCTAGTCTATTGTCCAGTTACCCCTAGGGGACGGGTAGAGAGAGAGGTGGGCACCTGCCCAGGTTCCCCAGGCAAGGGCGCGCGCCGACCCCCCGCTGCCCTCCCGGGAGCGCCGGCGACCTTACCGTGGCGGTACGGGTTATAGAGAGCCATTCCGGCCGAGCCGGCGGCCAGCAGCGCCTTCTGCAGCGGGGAGGTGGGGATGTGCCCCGGGTAGAGCAGGCCGGCGGCGCCGTGGCGCACGCCTCGGAGCGGCACATCTACTGGGCAAAAAAAAAAAAAAAGGCCGCGGTCAGACGAGCCTGGCGCCCCAGGCCGCCCTCCCGCCTCTGCCACTTGCCTGCAGCCTGCCCCCGGAGGCCGCCGAGTCGGCGGAGAGGGCGCAGGGCCGAGCGCAGCAGCGTCCCCATGGCAGCGGGCACCAGCCGGCGGCCGCGGGAAGAGTGTACCGGGAGGGCCAATGCCGCAAACCTCTCCCGCCGCGGAGCGCCCAGAAGGGCCTTTGAAGGAGGCACGGACAAGAGAGGGCCCTATGGCTAAGTAAGAGAAGAAAACCCAGGCGACCTGTCTACCACCTATTCCCACCGAAGCAAAATTCTCCCCATTTCCCCTCACTCCCAGAAAGGCTCCCCAAGTGATCCTTGCTCGGGGTTCAGCGTCGGGCACTCCTGTCCTCTCCTCCGTGCGTTTTCCCCCGAGGCCAATAAAGACGTGAACCTCTTCCGGCTGCGAAACGTGGCGGCACCCAGGGTCCGGACCACATTTGGGAGGAGGACCGGACGGCACTTCCGTTCAGGTGCAGCTCTCTCACCAGCCGGCGCCGCTGGCTTCGGGCATGGGGTCCCGCGGCCTGGCGCGGCTGCACGGGCTCTTCGCGGTCTACAAGCCCCCGGGGCTAAAATGGAAGCACGTGCGGGACACCGTGGAGTTGCAGCTTCTGAAGGGTGAGCGCTTCGAACCAGACCCACGATCCCGCTCTGGTTCTCCGGGAGTCCATCTCCGCGTCTGATCCTCCCGGCAAAATAAAGTCATGTGACCCAGTCCACTGGGCAGAGCGCTTTCCTAAGCATGTAATCTGTGTACTCCATTACTCCTCACTTTCCCCTGCGTTCAGATGTCATAAGTAATAGAGTCAGAATTTGAACCCAAGCCTGTTTCTTTTTTTTTAAGGTTTATTTATTTATTTGAGAGAGCGAGAATGAGAGAGAGAGAGATTACATGAGAGGGGAGAAGGTTAGAAGGAGAAGCAGACTCCCCACTGAGCAGAGAGCCCGATGCGGGACTCGATCCGGGGACTCCAGGAGCATGACCTGAGCTGAAGGCAGTCGCTTAACCAACTGAGCCACCCAGGTGCCCAAGCCTGTTTCTTAACTGCTGCTATTTGCTACATGGGCTTTCTCTTCTACATCTCCATACCTCCCTGTCCCATCTCCCCCAGGTGTTCGGACAGAATTGACCTGATGTCTTTTACCTTTGTGTACTCAGGTGTCAATGCTGGGAAGGCTCCTGCCCCTGAACAGCGTGTTCGTTTTCTGCTGGGCCCGGTGGGAGACGGTGAAGAGAAGGAGCTTACTCTGACCGCCACCAGTGTGCCCACCCTCACCAACCATCCGCTGGGTAAGGCACATTCAGGCAGGGGCCTGGGTGTCACTTCCCAGGCAGTTTCTGCCCAGAGTCAGTGTTCCAGTCAGTGCTCAGACTCTTGTCCCAGATGCTTGAAGGGCCACAGCGGGGATGGAAGTATTTGACCGGGAATTGGCAAATTTTCCTGGAAAGGGCCAGATAGCAAATATTTTAGGCTTTGCAGGCCCAGTTCTGCCATAGTAGTAGGGCAAAGAACCTGTAGGCAATATGGAATGCAGTGAACCTGGCTGTGTTTCAATAAAACTATGGAAAGTGACATTTGAGTTTCATATAATTTTCCTATGTCACAAAATATTTCTTGATTTTTGGGGGATCATTGAAAAAAAATTTAACTCATGGGCCATTAAAAAAAACAGGCTTGAGAATTTGGCCTGTGGACTGTAGCTTGCTGACCCCTTTTAACTATTCTGGGACTCCAGATGGGAATTGAGACCCTCAGGTAGAAGTCCTAAGGTGGGAGTTTGGGGCTCTTGGGAAGGAGTGACTTTTTTAGTCAGCAAAGCTGCCCAAGAATGGAACTAGCTATAATGAGCTCCCTGTCACTATACAAGATTAGGAAGACTGAGGGGTTTGACCAGAAACCACTAAAATCCCTTTGGCAGTGATATTTATTGATTCTACAGTGTAGCAATAACAAGTATGATGTACCAAGGATCTCTTCTGTACTAGATACCATGTTAAGGTTTTACCAAGTACCATTTTATTAAATCTTCACCACAACCCTGTGAGGTGGGTCCTGTTCTCATTTCACAAATGAGGAAACTGAGGGTCAGTGTGGATATTAAGTAACATAGGCTGGATTCAGTAGGTGCTTAACCATCCCGTATCCTTCCCCCAGATACCTCTTGTTCTGTAGAAGTATATATGTTTCTGGCTCATTGCTGCATGCAGTCTTTTTTTTTTTCTTTTTAAATAACGTTATTGAGATATAATTGATACACAAAAACCCACATTTTAAAAATGGTTTTATTTTAATTTTTTTTTTTAAGATTTTACTTATTTATTTGAGAGAGAGAGCAAGAAGGGGAAGGGGCAGAGAGAGAGGGAGAAGACTCCCTGCTAAACAAGGAGCCCAGTGTGGGACTCGATCCCAGTACCCTGGGATCATGACCTGAGCCAAAGGCCGACACTTAACCAACTGAACCACCCAGGCGTCCCTCACTAGTTTCCTGAGTGCCTAGTGAGTTCTGGGCTCTAGGGTTAGAACTTGGGACCCAGGCTCTGCCTTCAGTAACTTACCACCTCCATTTTCTTACTGGGGTGGCCAGGACTCTCTGCCACAGCTGAGTAGGAAAGTTGACTCCCAATGTTCTGCCCAGTCCCCTCAAAGCCTCTCACCAGGGGAATGATGATAGGCAGGGTCGCAAGCCCTTTTCCTGGGCCCGGGGACCTGAGGAAATGGTTCGAGGCCTCAGATTCCACATGGGGGCCTGAGAGTCCAACCTGATCCTGGTTTGGGCTCCATGAGGCTACATCCTAGGAATGAGGCCATGATGCAGGCTAAAGTCATCCTGGAGGCTGGATTCATCGAGCAGAGGGACTCGTTTGTTTCTTTCTAGTCTGTGGACCAGCATTCACCAGATTGAAGGTTGGCGTGGGACACCGGCTGGATGCTCAAGCATCTGGGGTGCTTGGTAGGTGATGTGGTGAGCCCGGGGGTGCAGTGATACAGTCTCGGGAGAAGACCAGGGAGCTACCATGAACCCCACCCACTTCCAGCCTGACCGCCATTTCCTGCCGCTGCCCTCCTTGCCTGCTTCCTGCCCCAAGTCTGGTCAGCCGTTGGAAGGGGGGATGGCGCAATTGCCCACTTTTATCAAGTGATTCCTGCATTCGACGTGCAGCATGAAGCCCTTCGTGCACATGTTTTCATGACAACAACCTTATTAGGTAGATTATGATTTTATGGAGAAAAGAAGGCTCCAGGAGCTTAGGTGACTCGGTCTGGGTCATGTGGCTGGAGAATGCCCCTGTTCCAGGGAGCACAAACTGTCATCACTTGTGTGGGTTAGCCAGGCGTGTGACTCTGGCCCCACCGGCCAGGGTCTGAATGTCGCTGGAGCTGGACACATAAAGCCCTGAGTCAGGAGCCATCTGTGTCCCCAGGGTCAGGCGGTGGCCACATCCTCCGTGCGCGGTAGTCACAGTCCCCTTGTCTCACTTCCTGGGGCACAGGCAGGCAGACATGATGTCATGTTCCCTCTCCCTGCCCTCCCTCTCCAGGAGTGAATGGAGGGTCATTCTCTCCTCCAGCCAGAGGGAGAAACAGCCAGGAAAAGGCAGGCAGTGGCCACAATGCCCCTTTATTGGGCCCTTCCTTTGTGCTCACTTCTTCCTGTGTATTGCCTCCGTCTTCACAACACCCACAGGGATCAGACAGGATCTTGTATCCCCATTTTACGGATGGGGAGCTTGAGGCCCGAGGAGGCTAACGGACATGCTTAGAGCCACCCCAGATTTGAGGGCAGGTCTGTGTGACTGGGCCCTGGTCACTTTCTTTGGAGTGCATTCCCCCTGGGGCGCTTACTAAGGATCCAAGGCCCCTCCATGAGTCAGAGTCAGTACAAGTGGGTGGGCCCCAAAACCTACATTTTCGTATCTACCCAGGGGAGCTCACTTGCTCCCTGTAGAAGAAGCTGTCCTTGCCCTCTTGCTGGCTTTAGCAGCATCAGAGATGGAAGGATTCAGGTGGTGGTTGTGGGGGTTGGAGGTCCCAGGGAAATGAGAAAGGGGAGCCAGGTGTGACATCAGCCTGGGTGTCTTCCAGTGCTCGGCGTGGGACATGGACGCAGGCTCCTCACCAGCATGTACAATGCTCACCTCACCAAGGTATGGGGATGCTGCGGACAGCTTGTTTAGCCCCTTTCCCTGGGGCTCACTGGCAGGAATGTGAAGCTGAGAGGACTGCATGGGGGAACACCCAGGTCATCAGCCAGCGTTGTTTCATGGCCGTGTGCTGGGGGAGACTGTAAGGATAGCATGGTAATGACCGCTGCTGGCCTTGTTGCATGCCAGCCGCTCTTTGCTGAGCACTGCATGTGGACTCCCTCTTGGATGCCTCACATCCTCCCCGAAAAGTGGGATCTGCTGTTAACCCGCCTTACAGATGGGACCACTGAGGCACAGAGAGGGGATGTCATTTGCCCAGGGTCGTGCAACCTGTAAGGATTTGAACCTGGATTTGCACTTTAAACCTGGATCTGTCTGACCCCAGACCAAGACTGAGAGGTGGACGTCACCATCCAGGCATCAGGGAGCTTGCATCTGGGCTGGGGCTGTGGAATCTGGCACCATGAGAGGGGACTGAGGTGCTGCGTTAGCCTCCATTTTTAGTGGTTAAGAGCACAGATTCTGGAGCCAAACGGCTTCAGTTCAAAACCAGCTTCTCCCCTCTGCTTGCTGTGGGCCCCCAGGTGGATGACTTAACATCCGTGTTCCTCCATTTCTGCATCTGTAAGGTGGGGGAGATAATAGTACCTCCTCCATAGGGTTACTCTGAAGATTAAGTTAGTAACTACCTGCACCATACTTAGCACAGTCACTGGCGCATGGTAAATGCTCAGTAAGTTATTACTGCTGCTGTTGTCATCCCTTCCTTGTGGCAGAGGCTGTTAGCTGCACAGATCATATTTGGAGGCTGGGGAGAAGCCGACAGGGTGCACTGGGAGGGGCCTGGCATGATAAGTTGTCAGGTCTGGCTGGAGAGAAGAGACGTGGAGGCACAGGGTGGTCATCATCCTTTGCGGGCAGGTGATTTCTGTCATAGGGAAGTCTGGTGCCCTTCCCTGGGGGGACAGTGGGGTGGCTGGGTGGGGGCTGAGTGCCTGGCTCCCTGAGGGGAGACCTGAGGACCCCCCACCTGCAGTCTATCTAGCAGGTTGGGGGTAGGAGGTGCTGGACATACCTCCCTCCTCAGTGCTGAGGGCGAGCAGGGAATCTGACCCCATCTTCCCCTCCCCATCTCTGCAGGATTACACAGTACGTGGCCTCCTGGGCAAAGCAACAGATGACTTCTGTGAGGATGGGCGGCTGGTGGAAAAGTCAACATATGGTGAGAGCCCGCAGGCGCCCAGGGCCGTGGGAGGAGAGCGGCTATGGCTGCCTTTGCATTTGCTCTCCCTCGATTCCTCACCCCCACGCAGGCCTTGCAGCCCTCAGTGACTGCAACACACTAAGTTTGGGCTGGCTGTTGGGGCCTTTGGGCACATCATTCTGTCTTGCAAGTATAATTGCCCGGTGCCTCCCCATCTGGCATAAATGTCACCTCCCCAGGGAAGCTCCACTTCATCCCCAGATGAACTAGATGGACTCTTAGAACAGTAATCAACTAATGATTAGTGATTCTTTTAAATTTGAGAGAGAGAGGGGCTCCTGGGTGGCTCAGTTGGTTGAGCAACTGCCTTCGGCTCAGGTCATGATCCTGGAGTCCCGGGATCAAGTCCCGCATCGGGCTCCCTGCTCAGCAGAGTCTGCTTCTCCCTTCTCACCCTCCTCCCTCTCGTGCTCTCTGTCTCTCATTCTCTCTCTCAAATAAATAAATAAAATCTTTAAAAAAAAAATTTTGAGAGAGAGAGAGAAAGAGCGAGAGCGAGCGTGGGGGCAGGGGCAGAGGCAGAGAGGGAGAGAGAATCTCAAACAGACTCTATGTACCGAGTGTGGAGGCCGACACAGGACTCAATCCCACGACCCCGAGATCATGACCCGAGCCGAAATCAAGAATCGGACGCTCAGCCGACTGAGCCACCCAGGCGTCCCATGATTAGTGATTATTTACTATCTGTCTTCCCACCACACTGTCACCATGGGAGCAGGGACCACGTCATTCCATTCCTGTGGTTACACACAGCGCAGAGCCTGGGACATGGGAGGTTCTTGTTGGTTGGGTGGATGGATGAAGAAGTAGGTGGGGGGGGTGGATAGATGGTTGGATGGCTCATTCCTCGCTTCTTACCCTCCCTATATTCTAACACTTTCCATAGGATCTATTACATTTTCTTATTTGACAGATGTTTTTGGGCACCAACCATGTGCCAGGGTCTTGATGAACCAGATGGGGTCCCCAGTCTCAGTGAACTCAGTCTAGCAGGGAGAGCAAACACACACCTCTGTAATCTTCTAGACAGGATCAAGAACGTGGCAAAGTAACACTATATAATCTGTATATGTGGGTGTATCAGCATACAAAACATGTCCAAAGACAGTGACCAATTTGACACTCTGGTAGGGAAGAAGCCCGAATTTGGAGAAGGGGAGATGCTGTTAATGCTGATCTAAATTTCTTTCTTTCTTTTTTTTTTTTTAAGATTTTATTTATTTATTTATCTATTTGAAAGAGAGACAGAGAACGTGCATGCAGGAAGAAGGGGCAGAGGGAGATCTTAAGCAGACTCCACGCTGAGTGTGGAGCCCAACGCAGGGCTTGATTTTACGACCCTGAGATCATGACCTCAGCAGAAATCAAGAGTTGGGTGCTTAACCCACTTAACCCAGGTGCCCCCGATCTAAATTTCTTAAAGAAGAGGGGTGCCTACTTAATTAAGATCCTCTTCCTCTGTCCATTCTCCCTACGGGTACGAGTGTGCACGTGCTCTCTCTCAAATAAAATGAATCTTTAAAAAAAATAAATAAATTTCTTAAAGAAGATTTATATGTCAATTATATAACTAAAAAATAATGTTAAAACCAAAGCAAATTAGAGACTTTTTTTTTTTTAATTTATCTGAGAAAGAGCACAAGCAGGGGGAGCTGCAGGCAGAGGGAGAAGGAGGCTCCCCACTGAGCAGGGAGCCCGCTGCGGGGCTCGATCCCAGGACCCTGGGACCATGACCTGAGCCGAAGGCAGATGCTTCACCGACAGAGCCACCCAGGCACCCCAAACCAAAACAAATTCAATGCTTGGAAAGAGACTCAGGATGCAGGAAAAAGAAGTGACATGCCCCAGGAGGGCTTCCTGGAGGAGGCTGCATTTGAGCTGAGCTGGAAATGAGGAGGGAGGGGGCAGTGGTAGGTACATTTCAGATAAAACAATGGCATGAAGAAAGCCAGGGAGAGAGGATAAGAGGCCTAGGCTAGGCCCTTCCAAGCTGGCAGACCTTCGGTCACCACACCTGTGCCCAGAACTCTGGCCTTTGGAGCCAGAAGTTGGCACCTGCCCAGCTGGGCCCCAGGATCAGCCTCCTAGCAGTTTGTGAGCATCCCTGGGCTTGGCAGCTGCCTGCCCTAGTCACTCGGTGGTACCAGCAGGCAGAGCCACCCCCTTCTGCCATCTGTGTCTGCATTCAGACAGATGGCCCTCTCGCTCCCAGGGTCCCTGGCATAAAAGAACCCAGATTGGGGCTCAGGGAACCTGGCTTCGAATATTGGAGAAGTCATATTATGGCTTTGAGCCTCATTTCCATAAGAAACTGTTCTTAACTTGGAGTCTGTGAGCCCCTTAAAACTGTCCTCACAATACTGAGTTCAGGCATAACTTTCTGAGACGAGATTCTTGGGCTTTCATAAGAGTCTCAAAGGACTCATAACCCCCTAAATGGGAGCCCTGGGTGCTCTGGGACCCCTCCAGTTTCCAAGGATGGGGCTGGTTTGAGGGAAGGGAGTTTGCCAGTTTGTTGTTGCCTGTCCTCAGCAGGCGCTCGTGTGCTGACCATCCCCTGGCTTTTCCAGACCATGTGACCAGAGAGAAGCTGGACCGCATCCTCGCCCTGATCCAAGGTTCCCATCAGAAGGCCCTGGTGATGTAAGTGGGGCCCAATCCACACTTTGCTGAAAGGGGCCCTTGAGGAGGTGCTGGAAGAGTAAGAAGTACCCACTGGGCTCCCTGTAGGCTCTGCCCACGCTGGGGCAGGTTCCATGGACCTTCTTTTTAGAGCCCGAAAGCAGCATGAACCAGCCCTTCCTTCCATAGCATGCAGGAGTGTTTCTTTGTGCCAGGCCAGCCCCTGGGGAGACCAAGGGGGAACAAGAGACCCCAGCTAGCCTCAGTGAGAGTATATGATTTAGTGGAGAGGGAAGCCAGGAACCCATATCATATGACCTAGAAGCAGGGGGCAGGAGCAGGCAGCAAGTGCTTGACCGGAAGCTAGGGAGACTGCAGAGGAGGGCAGAGCCTGCATTTAGGGATTGGAGGAGATAGAAAAAGGCAGCTGGAGGGGCAGGGAAGCTGGAAAGCGAAAAAAGAGCTTTAGGAAAGCTCTTCCTGAGTGGGGCAGGGCCAGGGGTAAACAGTGGACCCAGCTCCCCATCCCACGCCAGCCCCCTTTTGATCCCCAGGTACTCCAACCTGGACTTGCAGACCCAGGAGGCCTATGATATGGCTGTGAGAGGCTTGATTCGGCCCATGGGCAAGTCCCCAATGCTGGTAACGGGCATCCGATGCGTCTTCTTTGCGCCGCCGGAATTCCTCATAGGTACATTGCTCCAGGAAGTTGGAGCAGTGAGATGGGGCTCTTGGGTTTGGGGAATCATTGTGGAATGCCCTTGTAGACCCCAGCACATGCCCGCCCTGATCCCTGCTGGCTAAGGCGCCAGGGGCCAGCTTCCTTCTCAGCCCCCGGCTGAACTTGGCCCATCCACACAGCACTCAGATCAAATCCTGTCCTATATGCTGCCAAGTTACACTTTGAAGCCAGACCTTAGCGAGAAGCTAATACTTAGTGGTTCATTTCCATTGCCTCGCAGTGTTTCACGTTGCAGTGGGCCATCAGACAGCACCCTCGTCTCCCCAGTCCCACCCAGCTCGGTCCCTCCCTCCTTTCTTCTCTCTCCATCTTACTAACAAGGGCTCCTTGAGTGCTGACCCGGACTCTCCCAATGATAAGCACCTTATGTACATTATCTCTTAAGATAATTTTACAGATGAGCCTTAAGTCTTAGACCAGAACAGCCTTCCGGAAGTTAGCCTGCCCACAAAACTCCTGCAGCGGCGGGGGGGGGGGGGGGGGGGGGGGGGGTGTCTCTGATTCTGCAGGTCTGGGTGGAGCCCAAGATTCTGCACATGTAATCAACTTTCAGGGCTGGCCCGTGAGCAAAGTCCTGGAGAGCTAAGGTCTTTCTCTAAGGTTTATCACACAGCCAAGAGGTATCACGGGTGTGGATTTAGATCCACAGATACCAGAGGCCATGCTCCCAACCTTCAGATCTGTTGTGTGTCCCTGGCAGAGGTACAGTGCATGCATGAGACACAGAAGCAGCTGAGGAGGCTGGTGCATGAGATCGGCCTGGAGCTGAAGACCACCGCTGTCTGTTCCCAAGTGCGGCGTACGCGGGATGGCTTTTTCACCCTAGACGATGCCCTCCTGAGGACCCAGTGGGATTTACACAGCATCCAGGATGCCATCCAGGCCACAGCTCCCCGGGTGGCAGCAGAGCTGGAGAGGAGCTTGAGGCCAGGGCTGGGCACGCAGCAGCTTCCCGGTCCAGGCCAGCCCTGGGACTCCAGGGGGCCAAGCTCTGCCTTGGGGCTGGAGAGCTGTGCAGGGCCTTGAAAGGCCAGGCGGCTGGCGAGACAGTGAATAGATAAGAATTGTTCTGAGCTGGAACTGATAACTGCGCAGAATGCAAGAGGAAGGGAAGAACATGTGACATAAAACTCTGAAACTGTAAGAAAATCAACAGACTTGACCCAATGGAAAAGGAGAAACTTCTATATGGAGGAAAAGATGATAAAGAAATGATAAGACAGATAAAAATACTTGTAATACGTTTAAGAATGAATATCCAGGGGCACCTGGGTGACTCATTCGGTTAAGTGCTTGCCCTCAGCTTAGGTCATGATCCCAGGGTCCTGCACCCCTGATGAAGTCCCACATCAGGCTCCCCGATCAGGGGGGAGCCTGCTTCTCCTTCTGCCTCTGCTTCTCCCTCTGCTTGTGCTCTCTCTGTTCATATAAATAAATAAAATCTTCAAAAAGATTAACAATAAGAAAAAGATAAGAAAATTGGGCAAATGACATGAATTTTGTGTTTATACGTATAAAAAGAAATCCAAGTGGCCAATAAGCCAGAAATGATGCTCAACCTCTCTAATAATGAGAGACATACAGATGAAAATGATAGACTTTGCCTTGCCTTTCCAAAGAGTAAAAAGAGAATATCCAACATTGGTGATGATGTGAGAAAATGGGCAGTCTGTGCTACTGGTAGGAAGGTACAACTTTGTAACCTTTTAGGAGTAACTTGGTAGTATGTGTCAAAATTAAAAATACTCCTGCTCTGTGACTCAGCAGTTACGGTTTGAGGAACCTGTCTTCTGGCATAAGTTGCAGACAGTTGTAGGTACTTAGATGGTCATAGCTATAATGTAATAGTAATAAATAGGAGATGCCATTACCATCCATCAGTAAGGGACTGTTAAAGAAATATGGGGCATACAGGGTCAAAAGGCTCTATTCTAGGGGAGCCTGGCTGGCTCAGTCTGTAGAGCAAGCAATGCTTGATCTTGGGGTTGTGAGTTGGAGCCCCATGTTGGGTGTAGAGACTACTTAAAAATAAAAAGGCTCTATTCTAATACCCTCAGGAAAATGTTCAAAAACCAATCTTTTGGGGCGCCTGGGTGGCTCGGTGGGTTAAGCGTCTGCCTTCAGCTCAGGTTATGATCCCAGGGTCCTGGGATTGAGTCCCGCACTGGGCTCCTTGCTCTGCAAGGAGTCTGCTTCCCCCTTGGCCTCTCCTCCCCCTCGTGGCATGTGCATGCGTGGGTGAGCCCTCTCTCAGTCTCTCTTGCAAAAATAAATAAAATCTTCAAACATTTTTTTTAGCCATTTTTTCCTGCCAATTTGATTTTCCTAGGCTTTGGACACTTTGATCCCCTGTGGATGGGGTGTTTTTTTTGTTTTGTTTGTTTGTTTGCGCCTGGCTCTCTTTTAATCTCTATCCATGTGGATATTTTCCCACTCAGAACTTTTGGTTTTTGTGGGTTTTTTTTAAGATTCTATTTATTCATTCATGAAAGAGAGAGAGAGAGAGAGAGAGGCAGAGGGAGAAGCAGGCTCCCAAAGAGCAGGGAGCCTGATGCGGGACTCGATCCCAGGACCCTGGGATCACGACCTGAGCCGAAGGCAGACCCTTAACCATCTGAGCCACCCAGGCGCCCCTCAGAACATTTGGGCTAAAAGGAGCGAGTTGGCCTCTGGCTAAGGTTCCAGTCTGCGCCCTGAGGGAAAGCCCCGCATGTTTCTGCCACCACCACCCCCACCCCCGTCACCCTGGGAGAGGAGGCCCCAGACAGCAGGGCTCCTTCACCTTCACGTGGGGGCGGCTCAGTGGTGCTGAGCAGGTGTGGTTCTGCCGGCTTCTGGCTGTGGGGCCTCAGAAGTGCGGCTCCCTCATACGTTAACCTGGGAATGATGATTTTGCCTACCTGGTGGGTTGTAGCAATGAAATCATGGTGAGGTGCTTGCCTCGGTACCTTGCATGACCTGTGCTGTGTGTGAGCCAACCACTTGCTGTGGCTCCTTTCTTCTGAACGTTCGGTGACCTATAAGAGTTGTCACAGAGTCAGAGTCCTTCTTTCCATCACCTCCTGATTATCCGGCATAAAAATCAGCTGGGAACTTGACAAACACACCTCAGCCAGGTGATCAAGGTCAACAGCCACAGTGATGAGTCATGTTGCTGGAATGTCCTCTCGCTATGATACAATGAAAATGGCCTTATACCTCTGTGGTCTTCCTCCCAATAACCCAGAGCCCCAGTCTTAGAAGAAGAACATGGGGCAAATTCTGGCAGTGTGGCATCCTACACAATGCCTGACCAGTACTTCTCAGGACTATGAAGGTCATCGAAAGCAGTGACGTCTGAGAAACCACCATAGCCAAGAGGGGCCTAAGGAGACGTGACGACTAGATGTACTGCGGGGGGGCTCCTGGGGGGCTCAGTCAGTTAAGCGTCTGCCTTTGGCTCAGTCATGATCCCAGGGTCCTGGGCTCTTAACCAACTGAGCCGCCCAGGCATCCCTGGAAATCTGCATTTTAGCAAGTGTCTAAGGATTCTGATATGGGAGCTGTAAAAACAGGGCCCCGCAGGAGCCAGCTAGGCATGGCCATTCCCTTCTGGTCTTCAGGAACCACATGGACGGCTATTTGAGGGCCATTTGAGAAGAGATTAGCCAACAGCCACGAATGACAGGGTGAGCTCGTTTACCAGGGGCACACTAACAGAGTACCACGAACCAAGTGGCTGCAACAGATTATCTTGCCACAGGCTAAGCATAGAAGGCTAGGGGTCTAAGAGCAGGGTGTCGGCAGGGTCAGCTCTTCCTGAGGAATGTGAGGAAGACACTGTGCCAAGCTTCTCTCCTGGTTTCTGGTAGTTTGCTGGCAATCTTTGGTGCTCCTTGGCTTGTAGAAGTGTTGCTCACATCTCTGCCTTCATGTTCATGTGGCCTTCCCCCTGTGTGCATGCCTGTGTCCAAATTTCCCCTTTCATGAGGACACTGGTCAGATGAGGTACTCACTGTAGTCAGTATGACCTCCTCTTAACTAATTATATCAGCAGTGACCCCATTTCCAAAAACAGTTCACATTCTCAGGTACTAGGGATTAGGACTTCAACATGAGCATTGTGTAGGGACACAACTCAACCCACAACACATGGCTAGACCTTCACCTGGGCTGGCTAAGTGCTCCTTAGAGCACTATTGTCACGTGCCCAGAAGACTCCCCCAAGGTCAGGGCAGGCTCCATAGTCCCCTCCACATCTGCTGCAGATTGGGGCAATGGGGAGGGCTCAGGGCCCCAGGGGATCTGGAGGGTGGCAACCCAGGGTCAGGGAATCTAGCTGTCCCCTCTGGGGCCTCTTTCCAGGGCTTTCACCAAGCATCTCCCCTTCCCTTGTCCAATTAAGAATTTATTTATTTATTTATTTATTTTTTCCAATTAAGAATTTAAACTTTTTATTTGATTGCACCGTATATAAGAAGTCTATCTGGATCTCATTCTAGAATTTACAAAATTTGGGTAGTTGGTCTTAGATTAGAAAACAGGAAAATGGGGCATTTGGGTGGCACAGTCTGTTATGTGTCCAGCTCTTTGATTCGGCCTGGGTTGTGATCTCAGGGTCGTGAAATTGAGCCCCACATCAGGCTCCCTGCTCAGTGTGGAGTCTGTCCGAGACTCTCCCTCTCTCTCTGCCCCTACCCCCTGCTCACTCTCTCTCTCTCTCTCTCAAATAAGTAAGTCTTAAAAAAAAAAATAAAACAAATATATCTCTCAGGAGTCTGTTGAGATGAGGGCTTTGTCTGCTTCATCACTAGAGCCACACCATGGGCTCCTAGGATGGGGTATGTGTTTATCAAGGCTCTTCAGAGAAATAGGACCAAGGGGAAGTGTGTATCTAGAGATAGATTTGTTTCAAGGAATTTGCTCACATCGGGTTGCCTGGCTGGCTCAGTTGGTGGAGTGTGTGACTCTTGATCTCATTTGTGAGGTGGAGCCCCACGTTGGTGTGGAGATCACTAAAAATAAATAAATAAATAAACTTAGAAAAATTCGTGCACGTGATCGTGGAACCTGGCAAATCCAAAATCTGCAGGGTCGGGCAGCAGGCGGTAAGCGGCAGGCTGAACATCTAGCAGAGAGTTGCAGTTGCAGCTCGAGCCCAAGAAAGTCTAGAAACAAAATTCCCTCTTCTTTGGGGGACCGCCAGTTTTTTTCCCCCTTCTTATTTTAAGGCCTTCAACTGATTGGATAAGGCCCACCCACACTGCGGAGGGTAACCTGATAAATCTACTGAGGTACATGTTAATTTCTTTTTTAAAACAATTTATTTATTTATTTATTTATTTATTTGACAGAGAGAGACACAGCGAGAGAGGGAACACAAGCAGGGGGAGTGTGAAAAGGAGAAGCAGGTTTCCCGAAGAGTAGGGAGTCCGATGCGGGGCTTGATCCCAGGACCCTGGGATCATGACCTGAGCCGAAGGCAGACGCTTAACGACTGAGCCACTCAGGCGCCCCAAAGTACATGTTAATTTCGTTTTTCAAATGCCTTCGCAGCAATATGTAGACTGGTGTTGGACCAAATATCTGGGTCCTGCCCCCAAACCTCATCACAACAGGATGTGTCCCTTTTTCATCTAGGAACACAATACATGCTCCCTCTGTGGGCTGACATGGTCCAAGGGGCCCTGTGGGATTGACCACCTGGGTTTGAATCCCAGCCCTGCCTCTCAGTATGTGAGCTGGGCCAGTAACTCCACATGGGTGAGTCTTGGTTTCCTCCATCCATCAGGTAGAAGTGACGACAGTGGTTCCTGTCTCACAGAGGGATAAGATGAGCCGAGATGAGCCAGATGAGTAAGTGCCTCCAGAGAGCTTGCTGTGTGCCAGGCCCTGGGCTAAGAGCCGTAACGTACCCAATCTCATTTAATCCTCAAATGTGCCTAGGGTTTAAGCACTATGGCTATCCCTGGTTTACAGAAGAGGAAACTGAGGGCAAATGACATGCCCTAAGACACCCCAGCAAGGGAGTTCAGAGCCAGGGAGAGGATCTATGCTGTCCGGTGTCAGCCTTCCTAACCACTATGCCATCCTGCCTCTCTGCTGGAGCAACTGTGGCTTACTAACTAGTCCCAGGCATGGCACACAGTAGGTGCTTAGTAACTGTGTTTAAGGAATTGAATACCTGTTGTGATATTGAGATATAATAAGAAATACATGGTCTTCCTCCCCAGGTTCTGGCCAGAGCACCTACAACCTTCGTGATTTCCTAAGTGACAAAGGTGAAAGGAACACCTTTTGTCATTCATAATAAGGCCCCACTTCAACCACACCTGCC